GTCAGATTTGCACTTGTCTGTTTTTTTTCTTACTAATGCAGTTAAAGGTCTCCTTGAAGTACTTTATCCAGTGTTCTAAAGTACTAGAACAATTAATTAATTATTATTTGAGTTCTCTGTCCCAAATTAAAAAGATATGAAGCAACAGTTTATAGAACATATAAAATTAATTAAATGTATTCCTTGATTAGGAAAATAACTTTAGTAATGTGTGTTGTTAAATATATTTTAATACATAATTACTACAAAATATTCTCCATATCAAGAAACCAAATTCTTTTGATAGTTTGAAGATTGAAAATATTATAAAATATAATATAAAAATACACAAACAATGAATGCATTTATATATATAAACTGCAATAACATCTTATCCGAGTAACTGTTAGAATCTAAAATCAAAACCAAATCATTTCACTACAAACAAATGTAAATTATAGAGAAAGGCTATGGAGGTAGACAATTTCGCAAGCTGTATGAATACTAATCTTGCATCAAATAGATGTTATAAGCCAGACCATTGATAATTCCAAGGCGAAATCTAATTTATTCTTATTTGCTCTCAAGAATAAAGATAGTATTGCGACGAGAGAACGGATCTTTGTTTACCTAAAGCATGAAACGTTTTAAAATTATTGTTCATGAAAGTCGTACGATAAAACGTTTTTAATAAAAGAAAATGAGGTAAGTTAATGAATGTATTTAAAATTATTACATATTAAATATCTGTTTAAAATAATTTTCATTACACATTGCATTTTCTCCTGTTATCGCCTTGTGAGCTAGAATGCTCGCTATGCTGCGCACAATCTCACCTAATCAGTAAACACGATGCAGTTTATGTAATAAGTTTGGGCGTCAGTCCCCTGCCATGGTCGTGGTTCGCTTTCACCGTAATAACAGGCTTTCTATAATTTTGAATGAATCTGCGTGACAATTGTACACATAAAATTGAAACGAGATCTAAATGTGTTTTAGACTCATTTTATTATAAGAAAAGATATCTATGCATATTTTAATGCAAAAATTTTGTCATGCTTAACTTTTTACATAAATAATAAATATGTATGTGAGAAACAAAAAAAAAGGCACAATTCTTTTTATATACAAGGAAAATTACGTCGTTATCTAATGGTTTACATTATATAGCAGGTAAGGTAAATTAGAAAATTGTTATGTGACACTATTGCTTCGTACCGTATTTTGTGTTAATGACAAACGTATACTTAATGCCCACGTAATATTTGATGTTCATAATCGTTGGGAGCTAGTATTCGTCTTATTTTATATTAAAATAAAACAAGTAGATATTTTAATGCCTAATAAATATTAACCGAGTCAATCTACTACGGTAATATTTTTAATTTTTAACCACAGTTATTTAACTGTCTTACTGGGAAATACTCGTAGTACTAACTTTCCTACCTAACAAAAGAATATAAAAAATATAATTTCCTTTTTACCAAAAGGGATTGCTACGCATTTTTAACCGACTTCCAAAAAGGCGGAGGCTCCCAATTCGTTGGAATCTTGTTTTTATGTATGTTCACCGATTACTCGAAGACGCCTGAACTGATTTGGAATTTTTTTTTGTTTCAAAGGGTATACCTCCCAGGCTACAATATTTTAAGATATGTATATCTAATAGGTAAATATGTATTTTACGTATCGAAATATATTAGATTTGCTTTCCATCGGCTGGCACCGAATTCGAAAATATCTGATTAGGTATCTATTCTAAATAAAAGCCCCCGTTTAGTTATTTTTTACATTTTAGTGCCTGGAAGTCGGTTTTTTTTTAGTTTTTATATTAAATAAACACAATATTTGCCCTGTGCGAAGGTAGAACTCACAAGTGTCTCAACTGAAACAGTGCCAATCACCACACTTTTCCACATTGCAGTATAAAAGTTTCTATAGTATATCGTATGGACTACATAACCCTTTTACAAAAACTGTATTTCATAATTACGTTACAAATGAGATTTTTCCAATTATTTAAAATTAGACATAATATAAGGTAAGTAAACCTGAACTGGATTTTAAGTGCCCAACTCCACACTTAGCAGCTTGCAATAATGTATACGCGTAACAGACTAACAGGTGCGTGAGCTTGCGAGCCGTGACCGCAGCAGTCGATGCACCGTGTTATCTCGTGCAATATGCACCGTTCCTCAGTTACGCTGCACGGTCACACCGCTCTTAGTTATGTGGCTTATGTTATGAAATCTTATCAACACCGAATTATTTTAAGAATCATTGATGTATTTTTTGGATATTTACTTTAAAAGAAAAATAAATGGTAATTTTTTTTTGGTTCTATATACTACAAATGTATAAGAAATGAATTTATGTTTGTCTGATTGTAAAACATATACCTAATACCTATATTTTGCAATATCAGTCAAATATTACTCATCTGAGTCACTTTACATCTGGGCGAAACCGGGGCGACTCGGTGAGGAAATAATATTTTTTTTCTGGATGTGTAATATATCTCACATGTGTGAGCGCGTTAATTGTGGATAAGTTAGGCAATACCGTTTCTTTTTCTCACAAAGTTATTTAGTTTTATATACATAATATGTACACAGGTGGTATAATGTAGATTGGCTGGTATGTTGTAATTCGAAAGGAAACTTGAAATTCGTTTCACAAAACATCGTGAAAAATCATATCGTTCTCATAGGAACTAAGAGTACGTACTTGACATTTTCAGAATGTTACTAAGGCACGGTAAGTGCATTATTATCTATACATAATAAAATTGTAACTAAATCGAATCTGTACATTAAATATTTTTTGGAAAATCTAATAGAAATAGACATTATTATCGATACAGAGTCCAAACCTATAGTTTTTAGATTTTTTGTCTGTCTGTCTGTTACCGCATCACGAGAAAACCACTGGACAGAATTTGATGAAATTTGGTATGATGGTAGCTGGTTATCCGGGTCAACATATAGGATACTTTTTACCGCGGGAAAATATTTCATTTTTGAGAAAAAATACAAAACTGCAATGTAAGAGTAAACTAATATGTAAAACCTAAGAATTTGGTTTTTGGTAATCTGAACGCGGGCGGAGCCGCGGGCAATGCTAGTTGTTAGATATATTCCTTATACATTGTATTATTCGCCTTTAATTTTTTTTGTAAGGATATAATCATATGAAACATAACGTAAACCGTATTATAGTATAACCGTATTATGTTATACTAGCGGACCCGACAGACGTTGTCCTGTCTACACGTCTTTAATTTGAAAATTTCTAATTTTTTTTAATAATTTTTTTGATGAAAATTATTATTCAAATTGTGAATCTAAACCATTCCCAGATCCCCTTGAACACACACAAAAAATTTCATCAAAATCGGTCCAGTCGTTTGAGAGAAGTTCAGTGACATACACACTCACAGAAGAATTATATATATAAAGATAATGCAATATTTTAATTTTGCGACAGTAAAAAATAAAAAAATAAGGTTATTCAGGTTTACCTACCTACTTGATATTTCCGCCTTACTTTAGGACCAGTCTGCAGTACTTTTTGAAAGTTATAATTAACACTATACGTTTAAGATGTTTCGTGACTGATTGAAACTACAAACTATTGTGTTGTTCACATTGGATTGTAATGTGTATTGTTTAAGTTATTGCATTTGGTCACGAATCTATGATACAGGTATACGTTTACAGGTTTTGTTAAATTTAAATTTTCGAAATTTCCTTTCAAATATTTACAAAAGATAAATCTCGAGTTTTGATATGCATTGAGAAATACTTTATGATTAAAGAATACCGATATTATATTGCAATAAGTAATTTAAGCTCCCTTAGAGCTGTTAGCTGTAGCCGAAATGTGGTTTAGCATACGAAAATAAATATGAAATAGGTAATATTATGATTGATAATAAGTCTTGCGGCTAACTTTTATTATAAAATAATATTCGCTAGACCTTGGCCGGCACGATTAAAAAACAAATGCTTTCAATTCCGCCATTCACAAAAATGCCGTTGTGTCCGAGTATTATTATGACGGTTAGAAGTTATTAAGAGCTAGCTAACAAATATTGCGACCTAAACATAAAATTATAATATGATATGTTTTACGCTTCTCATAATAGGAGTAGCTGAAGGCAGAGAATATACCCTATCATTTTCAAAGCTTAATACATACGAGTATGTAGGCACTTAATACCTGTAAAGTCCATAAATTACCAAATGAACGCTTGTGTATTTATGATTGCATCTGAATTCAGTTGTTTGTTTTATTATACAGGATACGGATTTTACGAAACGAGTAATTATTGCAAGGTTTACGTTAATTATTTTCTTTTATGCCTACAGTTTTATATATTAATCATTATTTTATAGCACTGTACTCCTCTAATTACGAGTACTTACTTATGTAGGGTCATATGACATTTTATATGAATATGATGGTACTTATAAATTGTTTGAAATAGAAATCATATACGAGACAAAACATTAAACATACATATTTAGGTTATAGGTATATGTATGTGAATGACAGAAGTCAAGTATTCACTAATGGTTGGTACCGAGTGCAGTTTTGTTACCTAATGTCAGCTCTGTAATGTTCCTACTACCTACTTTCTCAATATAGAGATATCTGCCAGGGACGTACCAAATATCTCATAAAGAGCATAAAGACAAATGCAATCAATTTAATTATTTATTTAAAGGCTGGAGATCTCTAGCAGATATGGGGTAGTTGTATCGTTATATTGAAAGAGTAGGTAGCTTAACTATTAATAATAACTTTTACGTAATGTAAAACGCTCACTGGGTGGAGCTCGACAAACAGGTGTTTCACCTGAAATACAAACACAAAAAAATCCATGACAATATATTTATAAATATACCTAATACATAATAGATAATTTTCTTATTCCATAAATCTTTTTTGTTCCAGTTATTCCAACATTCGTGACAACAATAACAATATCACCGAATGGAAATAGCCCAGAGACTAAAATGATTGGTAGAATGATCGTAGACAAACAAGATAGAACTACAGAAATGAATTCTAAAGTTATTTCCAATAAAAATGAAATAAGCAAACCTTTAAACATTAGTTCTACAAAATTAGCGATCAATGAAAGATATAGAAGGCTTATACCTTATATGACATTTTATTATGCCAATGACTTAGTACCTCCACCAGTTAACGCACATGTACAAAACTCTAATAATGTTGAAGTTGAAAAAGCCATCATACATCAAGCTGAAACAAATAGACCGAGCGAGCGAGAACCAAAATTGATTTATAAAACACAAAGACACAAAAATATTCCGAGATACACAGGAAATCGATTGACTCAGTTCAATATAGCTTCATCTAACCCGACCAAAATATTTTATAAAGAAATACCTGTTTTATATCACAATAACCTTAAATCTAGCTCTAATTACAAAACTCCACCATTAGAAGATGGTAGGTTCGCCAATCGAGATGTTCCATTCGATCGCTATGTTCCTAAACAAATCAAGGCTCCAAGTGCACCATTTACAGTGTCTAATAAGAAACCATTTTTAAATATCTACCAGAATGAAGACTTTTCACCTAACGTGCAATATTACTCTTCCGACCAGGGAGAAACTCCAAAATATAGATTAGTTCCTTATGAACAGACTCCGCCCGTAAAAGTTGTAAATGCTGATACAGCGAAAAATCATTATAGTTCTCCGGAATTAATATCAAAAGAGTCTGTTTATATAAGACCAAGACCATCTATTCGTCCGCATCCCTTCTATGAAACACATAATAACCAAGAAGTACCAACAAGGAAACCAATAATAGTATCAGAAATTTATTATGAAAGACGACCAACCCCTGCATTAGTTGAACCCGTTGTAGAGAGCGGTTTTAAGCCGATTTTAAATTCTCATACAGAAGCCACTGAGGGGCCCATATATTCTTCAACTGGCCATGAAGTGAATGTGCCATATCAAAGCAATTATATTGAGAAGCAAAAAGTGCCAGAGGTCGAATCCATATCAACTTCACCTGAAGATATTTCTTATAGACCAGAATATATAATTAATATACCAGAACATAAACAACATCAAGAATCCTCTAATTCCGTCACCTTGGCAGAACTATTAAATTCTTTACAAATTAATAAGTCTATACCAAAACCAATCACAAGAGAAAACGTAGGAGATTCAATAAGGACCTTACTTAATGTTTTGAACACTTTAAAGGCAGCACCACTACAAAACGATGTAGGAGTGGCGGTTTTAAGTACACCGAAACCATTTCAACCCTCTGAGATTCCAGTGGTAACACCTCATAATTCTGTATCATCGACACCTAAGGCGCAAGATCCTGACCTACAAGAGGAACCTTACCTGGCTCCGATACATACACCATCACAATACTTAGATGGTAAGTTACGAAAAAGAATAAACAACCATTATTTAAAAATTATAATTATTTCTTAGTACTTGTATCTTTGTTAGGTGAACATAAAATAAAATGTTCTGGTGGAACAAATATTTTTTAATTCATGTTATTATATAATAATAATATCAATACCCGCGTAATTTATTGATGCATAATTACTCCACACCCAGACCTGGATTTACACTAGGGGCACTCTGGGCTAGTGCCCAGAGCGGCAAATTTTTGAGGCGGCAACATTCGGAGGGTGGGAATAATTTTCTTCGCGTTATCGAAAATGCTTTTTTTATTTTTCAAAAAAAGACGAGTAGGTACATTTTTCGAAAAATTGATATCATTTATAAATTATTTGTTTGCATTTTTCAAAAAAATGATGATTAAAAAATTTAAACTTTCAACATTTTATTCAACTTTCGATAATAGGGCGGCATTTATTGCTATGCCCAGGGGCGGCGCTAAAGTTAAATTTGGCACTGTCCACACCTAAGAATCATAGCGTGATGTAGTAAAAAGATTTGTTCAAATCAGACTTAACAGTTCAAGAGACAAGTGCATTCAAACAAACAAAGTACCACCTCTTCCAGTTAATATATCTAGAAGTATAGAATATATAGGATAATATATTATAATCACAGTACATATTAATGTACTAAGTAGGTACTATAATTATCGAATAAAATATTTCTATCAAAATCATTTTTTTTTTAGATTATCCAAGTGGTAGTGGAAGTACTCAACGATTTCCGCTCCCCGTGACGTCAGACGAAGAAGGTGGAACTCCTGGCCGACCAGGTATCGACTACCCAATATTAACAGTGATTCCACCCACAAAGTTCGACTGTAAGACACAACGTTACAAAGGCTTTTTCGCAGATCCAGAAACTAGGTGCCAGGTATGGGTCGTAATTTCAAAATATTAATTATTATGGATTTTTAATATAGTGTGACATTTTGGTAGACTGGCATCTCACACTAACAGTTTGCACTAGATCGAATCTCGAACGGGTAAAATATTTCTATTGTGATAGCATAGAACGTCTAGTTGTGAAATATTTGTAATGAGCATTTCTTAATTAGGACGCTGTCTGAAATCTATACATATACATAATAAAATTGTAACTAAGCCGAATCTGTACATTAAATATTTTTTGGAAAATAGACATTATTATCAATACAGAGGCTCAATCTATAGTTTTTAGAATTTTTGTCTGTCTGTCTGTTACCGCATCACGGAAAAACCACTGGAGGGATTTTGATGAAATTTGGTATGATGATAGCTGGTTATCCGGGTCAACATATAGAATCCTTTTTACCGCAGGAAAATATCTCATTTCTGAGGAAAAATACAAAAACTGCAATGTAAGAGTATACTAATATGTAAAACCTACGAATTTGGTTTCTGGTTGTTTAAACGCGGGCGGGCAATGCTAGTAAAAGGATAAATCAAGCAAGGGAAACTGCGTGAAATTCAAATAATTTGTAAAACTATTGACTATCAAGCATTCGCAGATTTAATTTTTGCACTAACTAATATATCAAGGAATCTCTTGATATAATCAGGATAAAAATTGTAAATATATTTCCTATATTGAACGATATGAGTCACGGCAACTAACCTCATCGACAATGAGACTAGCCAACTGCGTAAGAGATACTATTTAATGTTTTACGTACTACGAGGCGTAGGGGTGAAACACCTTCAACTTTCCAACTGCGGGTTGTTAGAGTCTTTCTTAGCCGAAAGACACGATAACTTAACTTAGGCCGTCATGACACTCAGACCCAGGACTTCGGATCTGCAATAAAAAATGCTAGCGATTAGACCACCGAGGCCGTTAATGTACCTTATATCTATACATAAAATAAAATTCTGAGTCGAATCTGTACATTAAATATTTTTTGGAAAATCTTATTGGAATAGTCATTATTAACGATACAGAGGCCGAATCTAGTTCTTAAAATTTATGTCAGTCTGTCTGAACGCATCACGAGAAAACCATTGGACAGATTTCGATGAAATTTTGTATCACGCTTGCTGGTTATCTAGGTCACCATATAGGATACTTTTTACTGCGGGAAAATATCTCATCTCTGAAAAATCTATCACATTATAATATCACTCTCCGACCCATATATCTATGCAAAAAACATGCTGTTGCTGCGTGGAAAGTACATCAATAAACATACTCGTACTTTCGCATTTATATCCATACGTATTTTTTATTGTTAATAGTAATTAATTGACTTCAATGTCTTACTTACAGGTTTGGCATTACTGTGACTTGAATGGCGGCCAGGCTTCATTTTTATGTCCCAATGGTACAATATTCTCCCAAGCAGGTCTAACTTGTGACTGGTGGTTTAATGTCCGTTGTGCCTCAACTACCCAGCTTTATGTACTCAATGAGAGTCTTTACAAATATATTTTACCCCATTCGCCTAAATTTCCCGAAGACTACAGTGGTCCATTAGTTGATAAGTAAGTATATAAATCCTTTAAAGGTATTCGTCAAATGTTAGTTTAAAAAAAATATCTTCTCCATTCTACACGATATTGGCGAAGTAAACTGTGCCCGAATGGCACGCCTATAAGCCATAGAACAAAGAATTGAATTCAATTAAATATAGGTATATAATATGTTCATTCGAGTGGGAATAGAAGTACCTATTATGTTTCGGAAAATTAGATGAAGAGTAGATACGCTAAGAGCTCTGCTCGTCGCATTAACTATAATGCTTAGTATTGGCACTAGATAGAATTTATACTTGTATTAGTGAAGTGTTAGCCTCATATTATAATATGTTTAACGAAGCCGGTAGGCCCATAAACATATACCTATTACTTCGATTCTGCAAATATGTCATAAGTACACAAAGCTTCTATTTCATACTTACCCACAAACGTTCTTTTACAGATATTTGAGCTTAAAATTCAAAGAAATGGAAGAACAGTTTAAAAAGAATAAGAAAAAATTGGCATCGGATAAAACAGATTCGGACGACGAAACTCAGAGCGATGAAAAAAATGCTTCTACTGAATATAGTCCAGTTAGTGATAAAAAAGATGAATCTACAGTAAACCGGGCAGACGTGATTATTGAAACACCCGGAAGCAGTGGCAATGTTCAAAGATTGCAAGATGAATAGAAATGAACTATAATAATAATTTAAAAACAGATGGCATATTTTATAATGTAGATGAGATTTTAAAAATATTTTTTCAAACTAAAACATCAACCAGTGTAAGTTCCAGCTAATCTATGTGTGTGATGTAACAACACACATAGCATAGCATGAATAAATATGTTCAGACTAAAATAATAAGATCTTAATCTTAGGAAATATCATTCTGCCATTTGGAAAAAGTTTCCATGTAAGTTAAAATTCATTCGTATTCAAATATTCTTTCACTTATGGTTATTCATGTTTTGTTAGAACTTTCGAACGTGATTCAGAATATATTTTAATCATAAATAAAATGTGATATGTAAATCTTCCCAATACATTTAGGTGTTACTATCATCGATAAAAAAGAAGTTCTTTTTAGTGATCGATGGTTACTATGCAATAAGTTTATGTAGTATAATTTATAGTGATGAATTTTCATTGATAATGTTTTGTGGTTGTGAACTTCATTTACTGACGCCAGACCTTTTGAGAGATCATATTTTTGATAGATATAAGAGTATTCTAATTAAGGAATTAAACTTGCCATATTTCGCCATGTTTAATTCGTAGTACATAATATGATGTAGAGTTCTTTTGATCTACATAATAGTATCATTTACAATTATGTATTATAATTTCTTACTAAATACATTTTTAAGATATTCTTTCTAAGAAATATATTTTTACGAAATATTCAAATAAAGGCAATAAAGTTTGCTAAGTTACTTTATTGAATAGATTAGTTTATACGTATATATAGTAGAGCTTAAGCTCTCTGTATACTAGAAAATTGTTTCGAACAGTTTGCTATATTGTAAATAACTAAGATCTGGAATTCAAAATTTTTTACTCATGTAATATTTAATTACTGTGATTATATCTATATTATAGATGACGACACGTTTGGCTCAGTTTGTAGTAACTCTGCTTGCTGTGCCAGCGGTCGCGGGTTCGAGTCCCGCTGGGGGCATTCATTTATGTGATGAGCACATTCGTGCTCATCATCAGTTTGTACTCCAGTCATGGGTGTTTATATTTATAATATGTATGTATTTAAAATTATATATATATATGTAGTGTATCAACTGTATGGTATCCATAACACAGGCCTCGTAGCTTACCATGGAACTAGATGGTAGTGTGTTAATGTCCCAATATATTTATTTATATATTTATATCTTAAAAACTACGCATTAAGTCCATGTATTTAATACTGTCAGTGTTGATATTTGCTATTTTTAGGAACATGTAGAAAAGTTTAGTAATGATAACTATTTATTTCTTTCATCATTTAACTGTTCATGAAAGTGATATACAAAAGCTAAAATGATACTCATCAATATGTGCAATGATGTAATAGACATTAAATTAGTGTAAATATTTATAAAGATAGTTGTAATCGCTTTCTAAATGTGTTTATTTGTGCAATAAATTGTCAAAAAATTGATTTGAATATCTCAGTGTTTTTATTTTTAAGTGACGTAAAAAAATGGTATGTAAAAAATAATAAGTCTTTTATGTTGGTTCTTAGTTAGATACATTTAATAAAATTATTTACAACATTAGTAGTTACGTAATCGTTAATATTCACTAACATTTAAGAATATATATTAAGCCTGCATCGGAATTACTTTAAAAACGAACAACATAACAATGAGCTTGAGATCATTATAAAATAAGAACACTTTAAAACAACCAACATTTTGTACGCAATTAAATAAAAACAATTAGAAATTTTATTATATAACATCGTTAAAGGTTCCTTATAGAAATTTATTAGCTTAGATAAGATTTAAGTATAATTATAGTTTATCATAGAATATCATAAACTGGGAGATTCAAAAATGGTTAATATTTACAGTATGAAGTGTCACATTTACACTAATCATGACCATTTATACACATATTTATACAGACCTATTCGAACAACATTGGACCTTTATAAGCTAGTACCTAAACACTTTCATATAATGCAAGTCTTGCTGATAATATTTATACAAAAATATAATTTAGGGATAAAATAATATACAGATATTGATAAAATGGCTCGACGTTTGTGTTATCTTCGTACCATTTTGAACACGACGTTTAGAGCCAAGGTTATAATAGATTTTTTTTAGCTAATTTTGATTTACAATTTATAATTATTTACAGGCCAAGTTCCCTCAATTTAAACCTCAATCACAAGTTGTTGCCTTTTCAGTCTTTCACGTTACGTTTCCTTCGACCTATTCTAAAACACACAAAATATATATGCAGTTACAATATCATAAGTTTTATTAATTAAACATCGATGCATTATGATATTATGAAAATGAAAAAAAAAACAAAGATACAGCAATAACTTGAAATATTATTACATGCTTGTTATGCTTCCAAAATAAATACCTGTAGCTTATTTGTTAAATTTTAAAATTCTAAATAAGAGTTTTAATATTAGCCTACTCACAGACAAGTAATACTGAATGATTTTACGCGACATTGAATATTTAAGTTAAAGAGTATGATTGAAATTTGATAGTACCGTTTTACCCACGGAAACATTACTCTCATCGTCCAAAATATACCCACGATAATTTTACCCTGTTAGTGACAACATTTACGATACTATAGAACAATAAATAGTGCACGAAAACGTGCGATAAATTATTATCTACGTACACGAAGATAAATGTAAATGGCGTCAATATAATGACAATACTACGTATAATAACAAGAAATAAGAGCCGCGATGTTCTGCAGCCTTGGGTTGCCAGATCGCCAAAGATGAAATAATATTAATATAGAACTGCGGCCGACTTTTATTCATTTATTGGTTACCCAATATTATTAATTTGAAAAACTTGTTGCTTAAAATACAATACAAACTTAACATTATTTTGGCAAATTTATTTTGATATTAACAATTAAAAAAAGGCTGGCAACCCTATTCGTGTCCGTCGGTCGCGCTCGATGTCGGTCGGTGTCGGCGGGGTCGGGGGCGTTTGTGTGGCTTAGTGCTTGAGCAGCAGATTGGCGTGCTTCAAGCGCATGTGAGAGCGCAGTGTGTCGATGCGGCTGTAGGTGGCCGGGCAGTAGGGGCACAGCGAGCGCTGCGCGGTGTGCGAGTGGAAGTGGTGCCAGCGGTTGGACACCTCCTTGCCGCAGGACTTGCAGCGCCAGAGGGCGGCACTCTCCGCGGCCGCCACGAACATGCTGTGGTACGAGTACTGCAGCGTGTGTGTCCGCTCTGCAAAACGCACCGCGTCACCCAGAGATTCCACCCGACTCCCCCTTCCAATATTTTGCAACGCGATATTTTTTACTAATGTTATCTATCTTATGATACAGCTTAAATTTTTAGCTTTTATAAAAATCAAAAATTCTAACCTGTTGCTTTTTTAATATTAAAAATTATTTAAAGACAAAGAAAGATGTGTCAGATAAACTATGATTTTGTTAAATTATTCTAATCGTGTTGCAAAATTGTGTAGACGGCACCGATAATTAAATAACATCGAACATCTATGTTGCCACACTTAAAATATAAACGATGCATATTCTAACTTACTGTAACAACGGTCCACGGCTCTCAACAATACTTTCAGTTGCATTATGTCATACACTTCATGCATCATGAGTACTTAGAAATGACAATGTTTCGTATTTTATTGTTTTTTATATTGGTAATGATGTGACTTTCAACTAGAAGCATTGCTGTGTTGAACATCGACTGCAAGTGTTCAGGCATTAGGCCGTGCATTCGTACTTATACGATACATAACAATTGCAAATGGGGTGGAGCGTGTAAACGCACAACTGAAACTACACGGATTGTAACATACCACAATTTAATGTAAAAATTAGTAATAAATACAACAGATAAATGCAGGAGTTTGCAACATGTTAAAATTGCATTACATAACATCAAACAATGTGAAATAAAAATTGCATTAACTGCTTGCATAAAACAAAATTATTTAAATTAAACTTTTAATGGAGGCATCAAACCAAGACATCGATATACTCATAAACAACAAATAGTTCATAAAATTTCATGTAAAAATATAACGATACTGACGAACAGCCGTCAAGGTATACGATTTGACACCCCCGACCCTATTAGTATTAAACTATTGTGATACACGACACTATAACAAATTGGCTAATGTTACAAAGAAGAAACAAAATAAAACATAACTAGACCATTGCTATCCTGAAAATAACCATAGAGCTCATCCTGCACTCCATTGATTCCAAATTATAAATCACATTTCGTGACGTAAAAGGTAAAATTTTAATAATATACAATAAATTGGAATATTCATTTAGATTGGCCAAATAAGTGACTAGGTCCGCAAGACCTCATTTTCATAAGACTAAATTTAGTAATTCGTTAATCTTATGTGTAAATTCCATATGGCATAAAGTTAGCTTTCATTAAGTTCAAATGAGCCGGATTTACATTACAAAACTAGGTGTGTATGTGTAGACCAATAAAATGTAGAAAAAACACTTCATGTTATTATATTCATTATTTATGTGAAAGAGATGTTGAATACAAAGCGAATACAATGTACGTATATGAAATATGTTACAAGTTACTAATTGATTGATAAATGAACTTTAAAGATGGTATGTGTTATAAGTACATATAACTTAGCCACGGATTGGTGCGATATAATTTTAGTTACATAATGATAATTGACATTTGATAAAATATTCATATAGTGTGTTATAAAATTTTGATTTTTGAATTAATATTGTTTTCTAACGTAAATTCGGCTCTACATTAATTACGGTCACCGTAAAATTATTTATTAAGTGATGCATACTTTTTGAAAGCTGAAAGAGATCAAAGGGTGATATTTTCTGAGCCAAACGATGTGATACTCCAAAATATTCTGGCCAGACACTATCGTAGTATCCTAACCTAAAATATCTAAAATAATATTCTATGTTACTAATCGATTTGCTATAGCAAATTCAATATTAAAAATTGGTCTCGAGTGATAGTAATATACAAAAATGCATTCAAGATTAAATGAAGCGATTCCTGAACTGGGCAATGGGACCCGCGCCGGACGTCGGATAGCTATGATCTATTCAACAATAGACTAACTTGCGCGATAATAAATTAATAAACAGTACATAACTATTACGATTGGCAGAGGTAAACGAGCTAAATCTTAATATTACCAGCTATAAAACCTGTACATCGCCGTAACCCAAACTGCGGTTCGCTAGTAGAAGTTAGCACTTTACTTATGTATACAAATCGGTAGTTACTGTCTTTCAAAGACAACAATTATTTTAAAATATCCTTTAGTTTGGTTACGTTATTAAATAACTAGTAATATTGCACTGAGTATGAAATGCCATCAAATAATAAGCGCCCACATTATTTAGAACGGTACATATAAAAATCTTCAATATCCTTAAAATTAAATATAAATCTTCGCGGAAGAAACGTTTGATAGTCATTTATCAGTAGAGGAACAGAGGAGCTTAGTGCTTATATCGAGTGGGCCCTATATTCAATAGACAAATTGTATAACTAGGTACGAGTTATGACTATTTTTTAAAAATTGCACAAGTGAATTGTATTTTCACAGCTACTAAACAGCACTAATGCCACAACTTAGAAATATTGAAACGATCACGGTCACTATTAGGATGCTCATCGGCAGAATAAGATCCGAACATTACAATGCGACTTAACAATCTAGATACATTAGTAAGTTTGAAGAGGTCTGAAAAAACGAAGGTAAAATCTCGAGTGATACTGTAATCTCTAGGTGTGTCTATTCGCTTAGTACCCGTTGACAGATGCGACCTCGGATGCTAGATTACGTTAATGCAAAGTAACTAACTAAACATTTATATTATAATAGGAGTCGAATCGTAGCGTGTTAACACTCTTGGTTCTAGCACCATTCCTTTTTATCACATTTCAGTTACCGTACCACTCTAAGTGTTTAGCTAAAAATGTAACAATCTTAAACATTAAATTGAAAAATACATAAACGCTAGGTTAGTCCCAATTGTAGAATGCCAATATTAGTTACTAAATGCGCAACCTCGAATCGTTCCTACCTTAAAGTAATCGAGAGGTCTGAGACCTCCAGCACCGTTCGCACTTACCGAAACTAAACCTACCAACGTTCAAATAATAAAACTTGTAACACGATCAACGAAACCTTGTTACTATATCATGAATCAATAAAAACAAACAACACTAATAAATCATATTACATAGGTATATAAATATAAAATTATATTAAATCAGACGATAGAATATATCTAAGTATAAAAAAAAACAATCTCCGTAAATAGATCAACTAGTCTAGTATAAAAATCTTTTCGTATGTTTCCTTAGGCGCTATCCGTTAATACATCACAAATCCTTAATAATCATCTTGCAAAGGCCTCATAGAGTTACAAATGCATCTACACTGAGATTCAGTCAATATTTATATGTCGTTGACCAACGACAGATCACAATCTCTTGCCAGTCCTTATCGATCCGTTGTCGTTCCGCACCAACCATAGGATTACAACATAAATATAATTAGCTACAGCCATGCGCTTATCATTCATCCTTGTCGATTGTAAATCGTTAATTCGTCTATTATCTTCTTGATTGCGATGCTATTTATTACTTCCAAAAACGACAAGTACAGTCTGAAACATTCGTTCACATAAGTGTTTTCACTTGAGAGACCGATTGACCGATTTAAGAACAGTTCCCGATCGATTTACGTTTGACAACGGTAAATGATAAGCGCAAGGCAGGAAACTCATAATTTCCTATCTAATGAATAAATATAACAAGACAGTATGAGCCCATTCGAGGACCGTTAATAGCCAGCATCACTTCGCGGTCGCACCGCTACTCGACATAACGTATATTTAAATAGCTTAAGATTTCTATCGATAATATAAAAAAATAATATGGTAATAAAATTAACATCATATTATTGCTTTTGCCCGTTCCCGTATAGCGATTGGTATAGAAAAAAAATTGCTTACCTACTTACATACGCTTCGAGCGTCGGTAACGTCGAGGTCACCGGCACCTCGCGGAATACACTTGGGCAAGTCGAATGCACAACCGAGACAATACTAAAACGAGTGTTAAGAACTCAACGAGGCCCGCTTAAGTAATAGCACTTGAGCTTAATCCTAGTTAGGAAAGTTCGGGGCTCAGACCGCGTCGGCGTCGAGGCCGAGCCAGTAGACGGAGCATCAGTCGAAGCTGGCGTCGAGGTGCACGTTGTTGTAGACGGGCGCGTGGGGGGCGGCGTCGAACTTGCGCGTGTCGGGGTTGTAGGCGGGGTGCTTGAACTTGCAGTGCGTGCGCAGGTTGTCGGAGCGCGTGTAGGTTGCGCGGCAGAGCGGGCACTCGAAGCGGCCGGGGAAGTGCACGTGGTAGTGGTTGCGGATGTGTGTGACCACCTTGCCGCACAGCTTGCAGCGGTGCAGGTTGAGCGCGCCCGCCACGCGCTCGAACGTCAGCCGCATGTGCCAGCCCTTCGAGCCTGCAACCAGCGCAACCACCGAGCTTTCACTCCTCCGCTCCGCACAATACCTCACCACTATCCCACATACAGTACTCTTATGTTGCGCACTATGTACGCTCATAAAAATGGCCTACTCTAGATATGCAATTTTGAAATTTTGTTAATGAATTCGGTTAGTGTTGTGTAGTGTTTCGACTAGGCCATTTTTATATAAAGTTAATCCAAATAAAATGTTTGTACAATATTTTTTTGCTATTTTAGATTAGTAAAAGGAATGGCAGTGTTAATCAAATCATAAAGTACCAATAAAAATACAGTAGAATTTGGTCAACAAAACTTAGGTTTTTTATCATATTTTTCTAGTCCTTGAATATATTATTGTTTAAAATTATTATTTACCATATTTGTTACAAATCCAATTTCTACTGTTAAAGAGAAGGACGTGAGTTATATTCTTAACATATTAGCGCTATTGAAAAAGCTTTGGTACAAATTTGTTAATGCTATGCTATTTAATGCTTCTCCTAGCACTATTAAAGCATTTATTAAAGAGTAATTTATTTGAAAATTATCGGAACCAAAACAACTTCAGATAGTTTTAATAAGAGATTCCATGCAGAAATGAATCGATGATTGAAGAAATGGTGTTTGTTATTTGTCAGTGTTAATACATTTGCACGTGAGAGTTACTCATTACTGTCACCAAGGCAGTATACATAATGCGGTAGTTTGATACAGTTCTACCATAAATAAAGAAAGCATGGAAGGAGGATGAAAATGAAAAGAAAAGAGGTAAAAATAAAGGAATATATTTGCAACGAACACACAGTAACGATAGACTTACGTACAAAATTAATTATAATCGAATGAAAATAAATTATATTATCAAAAATTATGTACCTAAATACATAAGCAAAGATCAGTCTTTTACACACCGGACACGTTTCCTTACAATTACTAAAGGAACAATAAGAGATCAAAGACGTCATTTGGTGTGCATTTATGTTGACCGGATTTCATTTTAAAATTATTTTAGTGTTAAAATAAACAAGTAGTTTTAATGAGAGTTTTGTCAGGATAATTAAAATTATAAAATGATATCCGGTCTTTTCACAGTCCGCACAGTATACAAATTCACTAAAATACATGACTAAATATTAGTAACAATTTCTAGCAATTAGATCAATCAAATGGCAAAATATCATTTTCTCATCAAAAGGTTATCTTAATTTAAAAAAAAAATAGGGGCAAATTTTTATATTGTCTAAATAATTAATGATTGGATTCAAAACACAAGTTATTATGATTATTCCTACAATAATTATAATTATCATAATTATAAATGACATAAATGGATTATGATCAACCTGACAGACTTACAATATAAAAAATGTGATTCATTGAGTTTAGCTCAACCTAGGAGTAATTAATTTCTCAGGACACATATATTCTATTATTATTTTAATAGTGAGTTTCATAAGAATATATAGATATTTCAATTTATGAAAATCCCAAGCATAAAATTATTTATTCTATTCTAAATGTATCTATCTATATGTAATTCTAAGTGACACACTCATATTTGCACAATTGTTATCAGAAATATTTTCGTCAATAAATATTTCAATGATTATATTGCGTGTTAGTATAAAATTCAAGAATACTTTGTTTCATTACATGTAATTACTCCTTGGCAGACCTTTTATTATGAGTATTTTGGAGGTAATCACAATAGATAATTTACTCTTTCTACCAATTTAGTTTCTTTGTTTATAAAATGACGGACACCTGTTTTTTTGGAATATTCTACATGGAATTATTTTATTATCTATCTGTAAATGACATTCTTAAAAAAGGCTACATTTTAAAAATAATAATAATAGCTCATAATAAGGAGTTAATGTTTGCTGCGAAATAGTAGCTTTTGCGATTTATGATAAACTGGGTTAGAGCTTTCAATTGTTTTCTCATTTAGCCTTTATACTACGAAATATTTGAAAATTATTTTCATTTTATATCAAAGAGAAAATAGACTAGCAGAAAAAAATAAATCTATTGTGGCGTAACTAACTTCAAAGATGAGTATTGCCTTATAATACTGTATATTAAAATATAATTACTAAGTGTAAGATTCCATTGAGAACATTACGCGAATTAAATTATGTATATTATCACACATTGATCACCCTTGATTAAGAAAATAAATATTTTTTGTTTAATGTTAGACAAATAAACACACCACACCTTAATTCTAATGATATTAGTATGTAGGTAACTGTTAGGATCACTGAGTAAGCGCACTTTGTTAGTATATTATGATATTAAGATTAATTCAACTACACCCAGAGATGGCAAAGGATATGTACATTTTTACAGTTATTTTGTAAGTTAATTCACATTGATTATGTAGATAAAAGGCCCATAAACTTAAATTTGTATTAGTTAAATACAACATTATATAAATTATACAATGAAATGAATAAAGATGTCAAAAAATTGTATTAAAAAAGGGATCAATTATTATAACATTTAGCAATTTCGAAAGGCAAAAGATTACATCTTTAGACCAATATTTTGATTAAGAATACCGAAAAAAATGAAGACTAGCTAAACTTATCAAATCAAAAATTAATTTAAAAAATGAGGATAGTCTTTTTGGCTTGCCTAGATGTGAATTATAAATGTCTACTAATAGCCTACTCACAGTGTGTCTGTATGTTCGACACATTACTCTGACCCAATACGGAACAGTGTTTCATTCTCAAATGTCGCTTCAAATTATCTGCTCGCGTTAGGACAATCGGGCACAGGGGACACTTATGTTGTTCAGGATTATGAGATTTTAAATGTTTCTTTATATTGCTAACATTTTTACCACATATTTTACAGGGCATGGGCGCATTGTACGGTTTTTGATTTAGTACTATTTTAAATGATTTTACTATATTTTCGATATTTGCTATATTCTGGCCGAATGGTTCCTGAGGTATATCGTTTTCGTCGGCATATTTTTCACCTGTAAGACACGTAACTGCTTGACTGCTGGTATCATTTGGTAGCATGCTACTTTTCAAACTTACGATATCTCTCGTATCTAAATAGCTACAAACCACACACTCCGAGCCAATGTTCGTCCTTTACACCCATATTTACATGCTGAATATTAACATAATTAAACGCTTCTAAGGTCTCGCCGTACTTAATTACAAATTTTTTGTAATCACATTATATGTATGACCTATGTCCCACCGGGGGCGCCAAATCATAGTTCGGTAACCATTTTACACCGATTTCTTCATACAATAGAAAATATAAAGCGTTAAAGGAAAAGAAAGTAAAAAGCGTTTAATGTATGATTAGTGCAAATTAGATCCAATAATAAGCCATATAACAGCCAAGGGTGATTGCGCATGCGTGAGAATGATCTACTCGTAAAAATAATTAGGAATGCATATGAACAAAATAGAATTCAAATATCGAAAATCTTTATTATAAGCATTCCTATTTATTCAAGTAATTTTTAGAGCAAAATAAATCAATAAATTCAATAAAGCGTCGAGAGTAGCCCGTTTCCGCGTATCAGATTAATGCTAAATTCTATATTATATATTGAGGAAGTATCAAGCACGGTATTAAAGCACGAAGGAGGTAAGTGCCACCATGACGCGTGGCATACGGTAATTTTCCATAAATAATATTTAAATCGAAATAACGGTATAACGGGCTGATCTCGATTTGAAAACACGGCAATTTTATATAAAACTTTATTGACGATCACCAACGAAGACGTACATACCATATGTATAAAACGGGTATAATTAAAACATTTATTACTAATTTCAAAATTCGATATTAATTGAGGTTAAAGTATTGTTAAGTGAGACACGCAATAAATATAAATGAAACTATATATTTGTAGGTATAGCATATTAGTTATTATTTTAATTCTCTCTTAATTAGTACCCTCATAACGTACTGTAGATTTTAATTTGAGTTTTAAGAAGAAACATCAGTACATCATATACAATATTTTTAAAGCTCGATTGATATTATTTTGATTTTACTATTTGTTATTGGTAACACGTAAGATTCAAGTTACTGTATTGATCGAGATTTTGTATGTCCTTACATTTTAATAACTTGGATATCAATTTACAGATTACCATACAATGTTACTATATGAGAGGAGCTATAAACTGTTAATATTAAGTTGGTTAACTTGAATTTAATGACAGCCGTACAGATCGTAAATTAATCCACTGAAGATTACTTTATAACATGATTTTGATATTCTTATTTAGCTTTTACTTGATATTAACTAATACGAAAGTTTTTTTAACTTTATATTGATTATTACATTTTAATATTAGTAATTGTTTAAAGAAAATTTTTTATATTTAATCTCAATTCGTGTATATGATTTCTTTTGGTATTTTACGCGATATTTTCACCAATTCTTTAAAACCTCAAGAGTAAACCTTAATAAAATAAAAATAAAATATATTTAAAGTGTTATCGTATTTGTTAAAATTGAAGATATAATAAAATTAAAAATTTATTATATAGTTTCACAGGTGATCGTCAACTATAACAAATAGGACTCACCGTCGATAGTGTCTGTCTGGTCCGGGTGCGGCTGCATGATCTGCTCGCTCTCGTTGCACTCGTTGCTCAGTTGGTGCGGTGTGAGTATTGATGCCATTTCGTTTACTACACCCATTGCCTGGAAAATCCATTGGGAAGTATTTGACTATTACTTGTTATTTAAAAATCACTACATATTATAAAATAAAGATCCCCGACGCGTCTGTCTGTCTGAACGCGATAAAATCAAAAACGAACGAACGGATTTTCATACCGTTTTCACCAAGAGATGGAGTGATTCATGAGGAAGATTATCTTGTATAATTCATTAAGGTTTCGTGTAAATTGGCTGAAATACGACGTTGATTGTTGAAGACGACAAAAAAATCATGCCAACTGGGAGGTTTTTTGGCGTGCGCCGCGTAAAGTAATAAAATTGTATGAAAACAATGTATTACAGAATTATTCCTCTAAAAAAAAGATTTTCCTATTATTCTGTACCAACGCTATGTACACGTACCTAGGGACAGACCTGAACGAAGCGAGAGTGAGTCACTAGTGTACGATAAAATTGTAACGGATCGAGCGTATAAAATATGTTTATTTAAATTGTGTAATATTTGGGATGCTGGCAAACAAGTAATTATTTTTGTAAATCTGGTTGGTTTGTGTAAATTGCTAAATCAATATAAATACAACTCTTTTAACTTTGCATACATCTGTCAAACCTATAAAATTACCATTTTAATCTCCATATTATTTGTACTCACGTACATTTGAAATAGGTAAATCGGTGCTCAAGAATGTATGTGCACATAAAATAAATGATTGCAAGTAAAGTGGAAGTACAAGCACGGGCCGAATGAAGTAAAATTATAATCAAAATAATGATAGAAAATATATTGTATTAAATTCCTTTATCATTTTATTTATCAAATTATCATTAGAAATTAAGTAATTATTATTGATTATTGTATAGCCGCATATTTGGCATTGATTAATTCAATAAAATGCACCTGTTACTTAAATGATAGACAGAGGATCACAAATTATGATATAAATAATTAAATAAAAACTTTAAATTATTGCATATTAACCGTAGGTACACATATAACGTATTCACATTCATAGTATTTAGTTTAAGTATGTAGGGATTCACAATACGCACGAGTTTTCCAATTATAATGGACGATGAATATTTGTGTTTGAGGCAACGGCAATCGTCAGCGATCATATAACTCAGCATTTTTGACATTGCACATTTTACATCATTATAATTCGTGATTAATAATTTGATAAGTCTGTATGCAATTGACTATCAAACAATAATTGCATTACGAATCTAATTGTTAAAATGTTAATATAAATACAGTTTATCAATTCACTATAAAGTTAAATTTAAGAACTAATGTTCATTATATTATTAAATCATTGCGCCTTATTGGTTATCCACGTAAATACTTATATAAATCTACAATCAGTGTATCCACAATCATAAACAATTGTCTCACAGTTGTGTTAACATGGAAGAAAGTGTTATATGTAATGCGTACGTGTTTGTGTTATTATAGTTTTCGTTATCACGTAATTTGTTGTAATCGGACTATTATAATTGCCAAAGTTTGTAATATCTCATAAAGGGTGTATGTGTGTGTGCGCGTGCGTCAGACCCACTGACCGGTAGATGCGTCTGGTCGTAGTGGTGCGGCTGGTGGGGGTGCTGCGAGTGGGGGTAGGGCGCGTCGGGCTCCTGCTTGACGAGCGGCGTGTGCGCGGGCGAGCGCGCCGCGCGGCCCGCGTGCGCCGGCGGCGGCGTGGACGGCTCCGACCCGGACTCGGTCGACCCACCCTTCCCTGTGTTCGCTTTTACGTGACCCTGGGTAACGGAGGTCTAGTTGTACTGGACGTTTTAAGTATATATTATATACAGTTCAATTGTTATCGTTAATAATTTATTTCGCAGCGCGTACCTTTTTATATTTTATTATAACAGAAAAAAAAATATGATTGAGTATTTAACATCATTAACTATTCTCTTAAACATGTTTTATTTCAGCCCCGAAAACTCGATTGACTGTAAAATTAGATTTTTAGATGCTTTGAAATCAATAAATAGTCAGTCAATTGGCAAATAGGTGACGTGATAGTTGGTCATTGTCATGCAAAATCTATGGAAGAAATAAAAAGTACGTCAATTAATGCTGTCAACTACCCAATCAGCAATTTGAACTGCATTAATACAGGAAACCTTTTTAGCCAACTATCATTGATACTAATTCCAGATTCCTCCCTAACAATACCTCATAGTGCCGATACGGCATTTCTATGTCCTCCCGTGGCACCGTCGAGTTTTTCCTGCGACGTTTCTCCGGCGGCACAGCATGGTGCGGCGTGTGCGCGGGCTGCGGCAGCGGTGTGAGGGCAGCCGGCGCGTGCGCAGCGGGCGGCGTTGCAAAGGATTCGCCGCGGGACGACAGATTCTCTGCGCTCACGGACGGCGTTGAACGCTCTTCTGACTGTCAGATGGGTTTAATTTGTACTTAATGAATAATAAAATTAAGTTACTTAAAAGACATCTAAAAAAATATATATAGGGGAATTACTTATATATTTTGACACTATGACATAACAATTACATAATTTTGTCATTACATACAATTTTTAAAATTTCTATTCTTCAACAAATAGAATGCTACGAGTATAATTTCCCATATTATAGTTTATTAGTTTATAGTATGTAAAAACTTAAACTTTGTTATCAAAGACTGGAAAAAGAGCAAAGACAATATTTTAGAAAATTTCACTTAGAAAATAATAATAATTTAGTATCTTCAGTTTCTTAAAATTTTATCACAGATAGCCTACTGTAACAACTATACCTTCGAGACATGTAACACCTCAGTCTCTCCCGTGACTATGAATGCTGTAAAGCATTCGAAACGGCGGGAACCGAAAATCCAAATAAATCCGCGAAAAAATCCTTAAAGATAGTTTTATTTAAAATGTCAAATATTCGCGTAAGTCTAAGAAAGTATTAAATGCACAAAATATTAATTAAATTTATAATATAAATAATAATAAGAGCCATTTTTAGAATAACAGTAATTTTTCATGTCTTAAATTAATATTTTCTGCTATTAGAGTTTTCAGTGTCATACATAATCATAAAAAAGGAAACGCTGTGCTTATATAAAATTATAAAATTAATGCTAAGTCGGTCTACAGACGACTGACATTTATGTAAGGACTACGTTATGTGGCTAATTTAAATTTATGCCTACCAAGTGTTTTGTAGTCAATTAGTTAAAATGTTATTTTAATTTTCAAACCCATACAACTATTTAATTAATGAGTTTTGGATATTGTATGTTAAGTAGAATTATATATTAGAATGGCTAATAACAATTTCTAGAATTAGAAGAATTATTTCCAAACAAATATATAACTTATTTCATCAACATTTTAGTATAAAATGCAAGTAGTGTTCTATACGGTAAACTTGAGCGTGACAGTGCCGTTATTTCTAGATGCCTAAGATGGTATAAAATAAAACGTAACACAACGAGATCGTAGATTATTTTTAGTATCATTGCTTGGTTGTTAGACTTCTTAAATAATAATAATAGGTGTTAAAATTTTTATATAAATTGACTATATAGTAATAATAAAAAATAATATATTTAAGAGTGCGAAATTTAGCGAATCAAGCGTAAACGTACCGGAAGATTCTGTGACAGTTGCTCTTGTAACCGGTTCATTTAAACGAGTTCATAGTAAATATGCACGTGAGATCGTTTTGCGTATGCGCGCACCTTATTTAACCCTCAAGAGAAGCACTATCGCTGCTGCGCGATCCAGAAGCAGTGGGTATGCCATACCCGCGTGTCTTTGATTAATAATATCTTTCGATCAAATTGTCCGATATAGAATTTTTTTTTTTCATTTTAAAGCTTAGACAGTGTAGATTAAGAATATATCCATAGAATTGTCATAAAGAAAAAATTATCTTGAATAATATAGAAAAAAATCAACATAAACCCTTAAAATGAGGTGTTTTATTCAAATTACCATATCTAGGCAGAATTTATAGATAAAAAATTTTTCCCGACGGCATTTGAAAGGGAATTAAATGTACTTTTAGATAGTTATTTCGTCATTTAACTGTAATTGATAAAAGATATTTATTTAGTTAGGTAAAGTTCAGTGTTTTTAGAATGATATTACTTAATTAAAAAATATGGATTCATTATTCTTTTATTAATACAAACATTTAAATTACTTTATAAAACTTATATTTTTAAATGGATTAATGCTACAAAAAATTAAGAATATAACTTCAAGCTACATTTTTCAGCTTGGTCGACCACGTTTCCTCTTGCCTGATGTACTAGGTATTGATTCAGACTCATTGCTTGATGACTTACTTTCAACAGCTTCTACCTGCTCTTCTTCGCTTCCGTCTTCATCACTCTCATTATGCTGCACTTCAAAACTGATTCAGTCTCGCTTTCACTTTCTTCGTCGTCAAAAACATCTGCAGCCTCATATAATGCGTTTACTTCAGACGCACGGCGAGTACGAGAACGTGTATTCATTTTGAGCTAGAGAAAAAATGAAAGAAACCGATAAATAAATGTTAAAAAAATAGAAATCAAATTTTTAATAAAAAATACTATAGAAAATGTAATATTTATAATTTACTTACGAAAACTGTCACGATCGGTAAAATTTCAATGTAAATACTCCAAAAAATGCACTTGAACTAAGCAATATATATAATAAAACTGACTGATGATATAAAATATCGATCAGAATTCTTTTAAAATAGATATTTTAGAATTCTAATTATATAAATACAAAAAAAGAACTGAAAAACACAATTTTATGCAAAACGTTGAGTCAGATAAAATAACAAAATACTGACGCTACAACAGCACTGGGTAGCGCATACCCATAGACTGACTACGGCCGCCTATATTTTAGTCCGTATTCACATCTCAAGATAACTATGGTGGGGAATCTGTAGTGGGGATAGTAGAGATTTTTCCCCTAGGCAAAGTCACCTTCCCATTGTAACCATTTCTGAAGGAGAAATATTTTTAATTTACACCTGGGTATCCCATACCCAGTGCTTCTCTTGAGGGTTAAGGAGATATAATAATACCATCCTTCTCTTCATTTGATGGATGTTCGAATTTTATTATATTTATTATATTATGGAGGTACATAATATATTCTCATATTGAAAACGGTTTAAAGTAATTATTTATTTATCAGCTCAGTCTTTATTTCAATGCATGCAAGCACTAAAAAATATATTTACACAATTAAGTAGGTAGGTAGAAGTTATTGTTAAAATTATTATCCAACTATTTTTAAATGCCAAAAAACGAGGGTAAGCGTAGATATTTCAAGGCATAAGAATCATCGTTGACATTAAAAACGAATAGAATCATTAGGCAATAAATTCGTATATAAAGGGTCAATGCGCGCTCACCAAAATTTCAAGGTCGGCGCACTATACCTACTGTTCTCTACGCAATGAGCCAGACTTGTCTGTCTGGCTTGCTCTATAGTCTATTCTACATATTGATGCTACAATCAAACTCAATAACTCCAAGCCAATGCCACCAAACGATTGACAATTTTATTTCAAATAAAAAAATTATAGGTATAAGACCTTCAACGATATTATACTCATAATGATGCTTAAATGTTTTTTGTGGTCTTAGGCAAAAATCCGGGCTGAATTATGTCCAAAACTTGTTTTTTGATGTAATTATAAGTAGCCATTTGCAAATGATAAATGTATGTCGGTTGATCATTGGATGGAAATGACGGATCATCGTAAAGGTCGAGGTAGGTATCTATTAGGTAATTAAAGCTTCAACATATTTTAACACTAGCCATAAAATAAATCTATTTTTGTTGTGAAGAAGAGGCTGATAACGTTTAGGGATAAAATAATAATAGACAGCGTTTTAAATACTTTCTTATCAAAATAAAGATGATATATATCTTTTAATTTATATCGGCGCTACTAGCGACTTATAGATTTTTGTAAACAACTTAATATATTGCTACGCGCGATTTGTATTAGGTATTATAAATTATTATTCCCCACAAACAAATTAAAGCTGTGCGTATAGTAAATGCTAGTACGATATAAAAGTACCTACACACAATGTGAAGACGCTGCATTACAAACAACATGATTGCGAATCTCCTATACGCAAGAATGCTAGGTACAGTTTTTTCAACACACGATTTCGGGAGTTATTTTCGGAACAAGGCACAAAATTAGGACATGTATAATCTATCTACGAACGAGATAGCAACGATATAAGAGCTAAGAAACAAGATCATTTATCTAGATAGTGCGTATATGCAAATCTGTACGCTATCATCACCCTTGCAAGATAGATTGCTTATTTAAATATGGGTAAATGCGTGCGATTACATCTACTGTATAGTTAATGTTAGATATAGGTTTTACAAAAATTATCGATATAATCTGTTAACTATAATATTCGAATATAAAACAAAAAAAAAGTAAACAAAAATATTAAAACAAAGCCTTACCTTAGGATTCAATGTATTGTTTTCTGTCAAACCTCTAACTTGTAAACTTTCAGCAGTCTTTAGGAACATCGGTAGCATGTTTTGGCCAACATTCACCTCACCCTAAAAATATTTAACTTATTAAGATAGTAAAAATTCGGTGAATTTCAAGTAACCATAACGAGAATTTTATCTCACCTTATACATGAAATCTAACAGAGATTTCATTTCCGAATACCGCACATCTTTTAGGAATATAATTGGATGTGGATGAGAATTTTGTAAGAATATACTTTCAAAATATGGGGAACATGCTGAGAGTATTGTTTGATGAGCCTAAAACAACAAAACATACACTTATAAGTAAATATTGTAAAACCCAAAGTATAATGAATATAAATTAAACAAAAGAAATGCAGAGCTATTTGAAGGTCTTTTCTGTTAAGATCATTACATAGATAGTGTCAGTAACTACCATTTTTGCACAAGTATTCTTATTTTAATAAGGTTGAATGTAGTCATCTATTCATGGCCTAAAATACGTATATTTTAAATATATGTCGCAATGTGACTGGAGCATTTATTAACATAAATTAGTATAAGCATATTAACAAAAATGTTAAAAAAATATTTCAAATTGTATGAGTTTTGCTTTTGAGCTAATTTAACAGTTGGTTTATAACAAGTTATTCCACGCGACTTTTTAAAAGGAGAATGTGAGGCCATTCACACTTATAGAATAATACATTAATGAAGTTTTCTAAACCCTAAAACCTGCCAAACAAGTGTGATAAAATTTAGAAAGTTAAAAACTTGCAGCTCCTCTGCAGACTCCTACCTAAACTATTAACTGTCGACCTACAAAATAAATTGCATTTTATTAGCATAAACTTTCATAGATTTTTGAGGTAATTTTAGAAACTATATGATTATATATTAGACTGTCATAGATATTTTTTTAATAATAAAAAAAAATATTTAAATATAAAGGAAACAATTTATATAAAATGGTATATAATAATAGTATAGAATAAAAATATAAAAATTAAGTTAAATAAGTAGAATTTGAAAGCTGTCAAATGCTTTAACTATATTATTTATATATATTTAGTACTAGTGACTTACCCTTGCTTCGCTTGGGTTCATCCCTAGGTGATTTTTTAAATTGACATAACTTTTTTATTTATTAACCGATTGAAATAAAACAAATACTAAATGTTGAGTGAAGCTTACCAAATACATTAGAGAAAACTACACTCAAATCAGTTAAGCCTTTTCTGAGATTAGCATGCATAAACACACAGACAAACAGACAAAAATTCTATTACTCGTTTATTGCATTAATCGTTTTTTTAAATTTCTTTCATGTACAGACAGCAGTCAGTTACACTTTTATTATATGTATAAAGTATTAAGATGAGAAACAATTAGTAATATCCAACCTACGAGAAAACTATTATCTTAAGTTATCTTTTGTATATCCAAATACATTATATGTAAACATAGAATATGTGCATATGTATTAAGTTACCTTTAAAAACTTTTGCAATACAAATACCAGATATTATTTAAGTAGTAACCTTGTAAATTAGCAAATATTTAAATCTTTAATGTGGACTGCCTTGGTTTTTAGTAGTTCATCCATTGGATATGAATATTTGACACGACAGATGATAGGATATATTAAACCATATATGCTCTTCTTTACAAGTGTCTACAGTAATGACTAGATAGTATTTTCTGATGTAAATGTTTTTCCAGTAGTATTTCAGAGAAATTCATTTTTGCTGTTACAAATTTTATGACTTATTTTTCTATGCTTTAACCTCAGTCATTATAATACTAAGCTTAAATATTTGATATTTCCTGGTATAGTAAAAAGGTTTTATAATAATAATGTTAAATTAAAGTAATATAATTTTTTGTTCTAAAAGTTAATCATATTATAATTAACGATGCCAGATGTTTATCTTTTTAAAACCTTACTAAGCGTATAAATTTGTAACTTAATTAAAATAAGGAGGATTCCTTGTTTTATTCAATTTTTAACACTACTGAAAAAAATATGTAATAAATTGTTATGAAAAGACATGTAAACGGTTTACTGAATAGCTGTAAGATATTAAATCATAATGCATGATTGTTTACTATTATATGAACTTTGTTGATATAATTATACAGTGTTGGAATGAGACAACATATTTATGAAAACAAATATTTGCTTAGACTTTTAAAATTTTAACTAACCAACTTAGTATTATAGCTAATAATAGTTATAAATTGTGGTATATATAAAAAATCCTACTTATTTTTGTCAGATTTCATAGGATAAGTATGTGTATATTTTTTTTATTAATAGGATAGTCATTTCCTTTTGAATGGGGTGGGTCAAAATAAATACCAAATAAATATTATATTGTTTTCAGACATCGGTATTTTCATTCAGTATTTTCTTTCATTTCTATACATAATATTAAGTGAATAAAAGTTTTTACTATAAGATAGCATTACTTAAATATGGATAGTGTAAGGTATAGATGAGATTAGAAATACCTTGACTGTCTCCCCATCACATGCAAGTGTCACATCGCAAAGTGCTTCTCTTTGTAATAGGCTTGCAAGCACATCTGTCAGGTTGGTTGGGTGGTTGTTCCAGCGCAAACAAAATTGCTGGTCCATTGTTGGTGCTAGTGTCAGTGACCGTGCTGCAAATAAACACAAAATATAATATAAACATAAGACTAAATGACCTAAATAATGTTGCACAAAATTCGCAATTTTGCAAAGTTTTTTAAGTAAAAAAATTAATCTGCTAATCACATGATGCTTACACACTCAGCTTGTAAGACGAGGCATAAATAATTAGACACGTGCACTGGTTAACAAATTTACAACTATGTGCAAAAAATTGGCGGCCATAGGGCCTAGATAGTACAGCGAAGAGATAAGTGACATCAGCGGCTCGAATTAATAGGGGCCGCGGGCAGCAAGCTTACTGTACTCCACATTGACAGTTAGACCGAGCGCCGACACATATCTACTTGTTGCATGTTCCAACCGAGACCCATACATTATGTAATTTAACTCCAGAAAGCAGACGGCGGGGCCACCGACCCTACGGGATGCGAAAACCTCTAGTTGTCTATAAAACGAGTTTAGAAAAGTAGTACCGCTGGCCAAAAAAATCGCAACATGCTGACACCGTTATAATCGCCAAGCTGGATGTGCCAGTTGCTAATTTCAAATGTGTAGATACAGGAATTTGATAATGCACCATTATTGCTAAGGTCACTAATCACTCCGCGTGCCTGGAAATTCTCGACCGAAGGACAAACGGGATTTCTAAACGCGTAGTTGTGTCAACTTTGACTATTCGTAGCGCCATTTGCCGTTCCCGTATCTCGGAATCTTAAAATTATCAATCAACAACGAAATTTTCTCTAACACACAATTAAATCACTATCACAAATCAAAAACAACCGCAAAACACACAAAGTCAATATTTCCTAACTCACCATTTGCAAAATTTTTGCCATCACAAATGCCACCCGACCCCTACCTTGCACTGTCTTTTTGACCACACACACATCTCGATTTCCGTGTTCACTCACGGCACCTCACGGCCTTCGGAATATCTTTCACATCATAATCGGCCAGTATTCGCAACGCGAACTTCATACGTTTCTAAACGACGCGCTAAATTCAAATTTCGCAATACTATTTTTATTGAATTTTTGTTAATCTTATTTTTATCTGCATAATATAATTGTCTATTTATATACTAAAAATATACTTGTATTATTTTTATTATTTCAGTCATCTAAATAAGATGTTTTTAAGTTTAATATTAGATATTCTTTGCTTTTTACGAAATGCATATAGGTTATGACGCCAAAAATAAAATGCGTGCAAAGAGTATTCTAGTAAAGAAACTGATATTAAATAACCATTATATAGGTCAAGAAAATATTTGAGTGTGATAAATAATCTTAATACAATGAAAATAATATTTTTTGGTTAAGTTTATTAACATTGGCCTTGACATTTTTGTTATCACAATTTTGCACATCCTCTTCTTCCTTGTAGCGACACCTATAGGAATATGTCAGTAGTTTTCGATGCAAAGAGTTTCGGATAGATGGCGTTGCAATTTTGCAGTGCGAAATAGTCACTACTCACATTAGTTTCGTTAATCGTCATGGGCCATGGCCCATAGGGCCATAGGACAGCGACCTTCTATCTACGCTTCTATTGCTGTTATCTACATTATGGTGTTCTCTATTAAGTATTAACTTGACACGCGTGACGTGTTGTAACTTTTAGATTTGAATATAAACCTTATACATATTTCCATAGCGTAATTATGTTATTTGCTTACAATTAGCGTTTTTTTAAAGAGTATTGGTAGTTGGTTATAATTAGTTATACTAATTAGTGAACTAAATTCATATTTTTTTACTATGGGCTTATAACAGGCAGTTGTGAAATATTAATATAACCTTAAAGAATAATCGTATTTTTTTTAATTACAAAGTAAGTACAATTTTTGACATAATAATTATGTATATTAACTTCAATATTGCCTCAAAATGTAGTTAGTATTTTTATATAAGAAAAATCATTAATAGTTTTTACATGGTGTAGGCAACTTATATAATACTAGCGATTCACCCTCGCTTCGCTCGGGTTCGTCCCTAGCTTGCCTCCGAATATAAACTTTCACCCCCATTTTCATCCACTTATGGGATGATTTCCGGGATAAAAAGTATCCTAGGTCCTTCCCAGAGTCTCAAACTATCTTCTTACCAAATGTCATCTAAATCGGTTCTGTAGATCCAGTGATTACCCCCTACACTGTCACAAACGCACAATCTCACAAACTCACAAACTTTACCTCCTTTTTATATTAGTATAGATATGACGCTTGTAGGTATAGTTCTATGCTTGGTCATTTAATCATGAGGTTATTGAACTTTATAATAAATCAAGAATTTACTTTTTAGGTTACTGCTTCTCGTTAGAATTTATGTACCTACATACATAGTTATTTAGATTTTAGACCAGTTTAAAAATTATGAGATCTATGTTTATAAAAAACAAAGAAAGAAAGTATAATAATAATCTTGATACGAGTAATATAAAGAGGTATTTGTGAGTTTGTGACGTTGTAGGGTAATCTCTGGATCTACTAAACCGATTTAGATGAAATTTGGGAAGAAGATAGTTTGAGACCCTGGGAAGGACATAGGATACTTTTTATCCCGGAAATCATCCCTTAAGGGGGTGAAAATGGGGATGAAAGTTTATATGGGGAATCAAGCTAGGGACGAACCCGAGCGAAGCGAGGGTGAGACGAAGAGTGAAGAGAAGTGAGTAGAAGACCCACACCGATAGGTACTGGAATGGTGAATCTCACCACCACCTTTCACAGTTAGCTACCGTGGGAAAATCTTTGTTTCAGAGAGCGCGAGGGATCTGTGACGAGCAACACCTGGCCGGAGAGCTGCAACATGTCAAGCAATTTCTGCAAGACAACAAGCTGCAAGTGCCGTGCCTACGTCACAGAGACTGAGTGAAACCAGCTACAGTCGAGCGCGTCTCTGCAGTCCTATCTTACACGAGAGAAGTCACTGACAGATTGGCTACATCCTAAAGCGAGCTTGAATTAAAACTTACTTCAAGCCGCCAAAGAAAATTAGTCAGTTCTTACCACCTGTCAAGTGCCACATCCCTCTACTACTCTCCCTCTACAAGATGCAGAAGTTTACAAGCTTGATTGTGATTGTGGGCTCTCTTACATTGGACAAACGAAGCGATCCATTAGAACCCAGGTCAAAGAACACATAGCTGATGTGAAGCACCGTCGCAATACAATATCTAATGTCTGCAAACATAGTCAAGACCGCCCAAGCCATTATATTCGCTTCGATAGACGTCAAATCCTCGCGAAAGGAAACCGATATCGCCCTAGAGTGATTCGAGAAGCCATAGAAATTAAAAAACATCCAAAGTTCAATAGGGAAGATGGCTGGGTACTACCATCGTCATGGGATTCTGTCATTAATATAATAAAATCAAATAATAAATCTAAACATAACAGACAGTTAGATGTAGTAAGTTCTTACTGTGTGGATCAAAATGACAGCAATTCAAATTAATATTGTTCATTTTTGCATTTGTAAATGTATGTAGTAATAGTGTTGCTTAATAATTTGTTTTTAAATACTTAATAGCAAACTAAATTAAAATTATTATTCTTAATTAAGTTTAACTTTTTTAAATTACATATAGAACAATTATGTGGCTTAAATAATTTTTTTTTTCTTTATGGTTATAAATATAATAATGGCAATACTAGATATAGATTACTAATTATATTATATATTTTTCTAAAAAATTGTAATAGTTAGAATAATAACAGCTAAAATTAAATAAATAATATTCCATATTCAATTATAAAACTAATTAAAATAATAAAAATGTTTAAAAATAAAAAATATTGTAAGGTTCTGCTGCCATTTTTCAATATTTTGAATTCATATTGTTATTTGTGGGCAGGCTGTCTGAAACAACGATATTACCTTTGAGACAACTAACACCTTAGTCTCTCCCGTGATCATGATTGCTGTAAAACATTCGAAACGTCGGAATACAAAAATCCAAATGAATCCGGAAAAATCCGAAAAGATAGTTTTATTTAAATGTCGGTTTAATTTTTATAAATTACTTTTTTATTTCGTAATTTATAGTTTTAAGCAACACTAAAATTTTCAACGACTACTTAGCCAGTTTTTGAGTAGTCGTTGAAAATTTTAGTTATGAGATGTTTTCCATTTCACAACATATCCGTAATTCGTATCAATAAGTCAAGCCGTTACTAATTAGATTTGCAACGAATATTCGGCTACTATTCGGTATTCGGCCTATACGGCTACATTTATCCTATTCGGCCGAATACCGAATATCTAGATACTATTCGGCCAAATATCGAATATTTAAGTAATACGAGTATGTTATGTTGTAATCAGATAATAATAGTGAATATGCGTGTGATGTAATGAAAGGTGAAATATTTTTTTTTATAATCTTTATTGCTTTTGAACTAAGCCTACATTAATATTTTTAATTTAATTTCTTTTTGATTAAGAAAATAATTATTAAAAAGTGTAAAAACCAGTGGGAAATTCAAAGTAGTTGAAAAACAACGCCATTGGTTAGACCGAATATGACGTCAGAGTATATCTTATCAAAGCGATAAGCGATTTTGTCGCTTATTAATTGAGTCGCCATGTCTGTGTATATCATACTGTGACGTGCACCAAGCGCGCGAGTTTTAATCCATATCAGAAAAACTACTTAACCGATTTTGATGAAATCTTTACTATTCTCTAAGTTGAAATGAATGTAAGCAAATAAAAAAAATAATCACGATCCGATTACTAGTTTCGGAGAAATGTGCGAACAAACACACATTTATACAAACATACATACACCTATAAAATTTTGTATATTTGTTTGGAAACTCTAGATTATATATTATATGAAAATATTTTGCGGTTTCAATAATATTACATTAATAGTTAATACATATTACATATATAAGTATACGTGTCGAATTGATAACCTCCTTTTTTTAAGTCGGTTAAAAAGCTTTCTAAAGCTTTGTCTCTTTTATTATAAATATCCAAAGGTTTGCACTCACAAACACCTTTTGATTACCACATGATCTCTAATAAACGCAGATCAGATTTAGTTTGCAAAACAATTCGTATTACATCGGCTTTGGCTAAACAGCATTATGATTTCTTTTCCCCAAATTTATATAACAAAATAAACAAAGTTCTTAATATATATCCCCGAACCTTACATGTATGCAAAAATATAATTACAGCTTGGTTGTTAGACTTGACATATGAGGAAACCGAGAACTTACTAAAATAGGTACATTTTATATGGCTGACACACACACACCACACACACACCACACACACACCACACACACTCACCACACACACTCATACACACACACACGGACATACCGTCAATCTACTTATACTATACATCATATCATAACTATTATCTTAAATTAATTTAACTTTTAAATCTTATATTGGAACATAATGTATATTTTTTTTTACCTGGAGGTGGGCGTTAATGACTACGACACAGTTTTAACTAATGTAGTCATTATCGAACATAATTTTGTAAATTGTAATCTTTAAAACGTGTCCAATAAAGATTTTTTATTATTTATTTTATTAAAGGTGGGAATTATTGAAAATTTGTACACGTTTAATAGGAATCAATTATAGAAATTGCTTGGTATTTTTACTTATACTTATCATAATTAAAAATCCCTAAGTTATATAACAACTAGCAGAACCCACGGCTTCGCTCGCGCTAAAACTACAAAAAAAAAAACTCTCAAAAGGTACGTTTCATACAAACTTTCATCCTCTATTTTACACCCTTATGGGATGAATTTCAAAAAATGCTAAAAAACTAGTTAATTATATTGAAGAAAATTGTGTTTCAAGTAATTCTGATCATAAATAATATTAGTATGAATTTAAGCTTCCATTTAAAATTATAGTGGTAAATTATTATTAATGTTCGAATTGTATTTTAATTCCAACAGACTTTTTAACAATATTTTTATAATTTATTATTAACTATTT